GGCTGGGGCAGCAGGCCGGGCAGCTGGGTGCGTGAGGGGTACACTTCCAGGCCTGGGCAAGGTATCATGAGGGAGGGTCAGTGCCCAAGGCTGGGGGGTTCAGAGACCCCCGCCCCCGTCCCTCCCACTGGGTTCTCACCAGAAGTGGAGACGTTGGCCGTGTTGCTGGGATCGCTGACATAGTTGCCGGCAAAGGCCACCAGGCGGAATTCATAGAGGACATCCTGGGGGGACAGACAGACAGAGGGTCAGGGGCAAGCACTGCTCACCCAGCCCCACTAGGAAGTCTTCTCAGGTGGGAGGGAAGGATGGTCGGAACAGGGTGACAGGAACACCCTGGGCATTGCCAGGGAATGGGTGGGGCTGGCGAGCAGCTGGGAGGACCCTCTCCGTGGGTAGCCCCGCGCACCTTGATGAGCCCTGGAACCAGCAACTGCGTCTCCGTGCCTCTCACGGCCCTGTCTAGCACCTCCCAGCCCTGGGCGCCTTGCCGGCCCTCCAGCACGTAGCCATCTAACTTCTTGGGGACCAGTTCTGGGGGGTCCCAATGCAGGAGCACCCCCCGAGGTGTCCTCACTGCCACCAGAGCTCGGGGAGGGGACAGGGGAGGCGACGCCTCTGTTGGAGGAAGCCTGGGGGCAGCTGGTGTGGTAGGAAGGCCTGATGAGGGAAGACAGGAAGGTCAGAGAAGAGACCCCCAGCCCCTCATCCTCCCAGGCTTCCCACAGCCCCCACAGCCCCATCTCCCACCCACCCACCCCTCTAGACTCCAGGCTGCTCTCTCCTATCCAGGTCCTTCCACTGGGCGTTCCCTGCCAGCCCATCCCTGGCCTTGCCTCCGCTGCTCTGGAGTGACGGGGCCTTACCTTCAGGGGCACACAAGACAATCTCGCTGAAGGGCCCACTGCCCAGCTTGTTCTGTGCCAGGATGCTGAACTGGTACTGGGTGTGGGGCTGCAGCCCTGGCACTAGGAGGTAAGCAGCTCCCACGGGCACTGCCATGGACACCCAGTCATAGTGGGCTCGATCAGGACGCTTGGCTCTGGAGGGGGCAGCGGGAGGAAATGGGGCAGGGCACCTCAGGAACTAGGAAGACCACAAAGTCCCCTCCCCAACTTTCAACCATCCAGGTCTCATGTCTTGGGCCCTGAACCCTTACGGTTCTCTGGAAGCAAGGCAGCAGAGTTGAAGCAGGACCAGAGATACAGGAAGGTGCCCTGGTGCTGCAGTGGTTACATGCTAGGCTGCAATCTGAAAGGTCAGCAGTTCAAAACCAGCAGTATCTCTACCGGAGAAAGAGGGGCCTTTCTACTCCATAAAGAGTTACAGCCTTGCAAACCCACAGGGGCAGTTCTACCCTGCCTTGCAGGGTCACTATGAGCAGGCATTGACTCAATTCTGGTGGAGAGGAGAAGGAAAGAGAGCAGGGGAGGGAGGCATGTGGCAGCCATGCCTACACAACTCCACAGGGCACCAGCACAGGAAGTGTAGGGGCGGCGGGGAGGGGGAGGCAGCAGACACAGGAATGGCAGGGGCACTCACAATGGGGTGTACCAGACGCTGAATCTCTGCAGATAGCCACCATCGAAGCCAGGCTCCCAGGAGACGTTGGCACCCTTGGGCAAAGGCACCACGGACACATTGGTGACAACGTGGGGGCTGGTTCCTGGGGAGGGGAGAATGCAGTGAGGGGTGGTGGCCAGGGTCTTCAGGGAAGATGGAGAGTTAAGGGGCATCTCAGGCCTCGCCCCTCCCTCATCCTCCCAAGGGTTCCTCCCCACAGGGGTCACAGAACGGTTTCCCGTATCTCCTGTTTCATACGGCTCCCACTCGCCAGCTACTAACCCAGCACGTAGACATTCGTGGAGGTGGCCACTCGGGCGACAGCATTGCTGGCACTGCACTCCCAACGCCCGTGGGCCTCCTTGGTCAGTGGCCGTAGAATCAGGCTGCTGTTGCTGTCCACCTGGGCCTGTCCCTGAAGCCCCCGGCCCACCTACAGAACCACTGGTCAGCCCTGAGGACACACGCAGCCACCCCTCACCAAGGGCGCCACTCATCTCTCTAGACAGCTCCAGCTTCCTCCCCGCCAGCCTCCAAGAGCCCTCTCTCAGTCACAAAATGGCCCGGAGTGGGGTGGGGTGGGGTGGGGTGTAGGAGACCACAAATACTGGCCGAGCAGGGTCAGGAAGCTTACCTTGGTCCAGGAGATAGCAGGAGGAGGGTCTCCTTGGGCAGAGCAGGGGATGAGTAGCTCCCGCCCTACTTCCTGGAAATATTCCTCCTTGGGTCGTTCTATAAAAGCTGGGGGAGCCTGCAAGCCAGGCCTGGCATTGGGAGGGGGCACTCTGTGGCCTGCCTTACCCTGCTAGTGAAAGCTGGTTACTCCCCATCGCTGGGGCTTCCCGTCACACCACATGTCACTCACTCTCTAGCTCATTCTTTCCCTGGCTCTCGGTTTCTCATGCTGCGACAGAACAAGGGCTGGTGGCTGGGAGAGGTCCCTTGGAGATGTCCAGCCCTCTCCAGGATACCCTGTGTCCTCCCCTTGGCTCGCTATCCTTAGTGGACCCCAGAAGGAGGCCGCACAGTCAAGGTTGATGAGTCCATGTGGTTCGGGTCCACTTCAGTCATTTGTTTCCTCGCTGACTGTGTGGACATGCTCTCTGCCTGACGTCCCACCTCCCCTGCGCCATCTGCCAAAATCTGTGGATGGCAACTCACGGCTGCTACTGGGGCCTCTACCTGAAAGCCAGAGACTTAGGAATCCCATCCCCACAAGTCTGTCCACTGCACTCTGTCAGCCGGGCCTTGGTAGGGAGGCACCCTTCCTCAGCCCCCTGAGCCACTTCTGCTACAGGCCCTGGCTCACCCTGGCCTTACCTTGAGCAGCACATGGGTGACCGGGGAGGGGCCTGCAGTGCCAAGACTGTTGTAGGGGGTGCAGGAGTAGTCTCCCAGGGCATCCTCGTTTCCCAGGGCAATGATCAGTGAGCCTTCTGTGTCCTGGGACCAGCCTGGGAACTGAAGGCGGGTGGGGCGGGTGGAGGGAGAAGAGAAGACAACCAGAGGGAGACTCAGGTGAGGCCCAGCATTCGGGGGAAGGGGCAGTGTGAGAACCCACATCTAGGCATGTCTCTCCACAAGTATTTCTAGGCCTGACTTCTCCCTAGTTCCAGCGCCTCGTTGCTCAGTGCTGCAGAGCAAAACCAAAACACCAAGGCCCCTGCCACCGAGTCACTCTGACTCACAGCGACTCTAACAGGACTGAGCCGAACTGCCCCTTAGTGTTTCAGAGGCTGTCAGTCTTTAGGGCACCAACAGCCTCATCTTTCTCCGAAGAGCAGCTGGTGGGTTTGAACCGCTGGCAAAACCTTAACCCACAGCAACGCGAGGGCTCCTGTGTAAACGAGCGTGGCAGCTGTGACTACGCAGCTCAGAGGGCACCAGGCACAGAGAATGCAGTCTGGATGGTGCCCCCTAAAAGTGGAACAGATTCCCCAGGGACTCGCTGTTACGGAGCGGTTCTCCCGGCATTCCACAAATACATTCGGCATTTGCTACCGCAACCAGTTAGCTAGGTGGTGTTCAGTCCACTCTCTGGGTCTCAGAGGAGGGCTGGGCTCCAGTGGCTGAGCATTTCTTCTGACACATCTCTGTGAGGACTCGAACCTCCCACCTTTGGGTGAGCAGCTCAGCATTGCATGTTGTCACTGCCCAAGGGCTCTTTTTTCACCTCAAACCAGTTCGTTTTCCCGGCACCCTCATTTAAACTGGGTTCCATACTCCCCACTGTCCCTCTCTACACACTTCTCACGCCTGGCCTCTTGGGAAGACCCTTCTGTCTGGAGATGACGGTTCCCCCATTGTCCTGTCTTCCTAGCTCAGATTTCAGAACTGGGCCATTTCAGCAGCCTCTGGGGCCCTCTCCCTGGGGCCAGCCGCTCCGCTTCCACGTTCCCGCACCATCTCTCGGACCACTTCCTGCGCCCCAGACACCTTAGACACTTTGTTTGGAAAGAAAACCATTCAACAGAAATTCACTGAGTCCAGCTAGAGCCGAAGCCCTGGGGACACTATGACTCAGAGGCCCTCCTGGCCTGCTAGGGACCTGTCGTCTCTGCAGACAAATAAAAGATCCCAGTCGCCTTGGAATGAGGTAATATCCACCGTTCTCCCCTTTGGTCCCAACCTGTTTGTCCAGCTTTCTCTGCAGCACCCCGTCCCCATTAGCACTGCCGTCCCTACAACCACATCGGAGAACTTGTCACTCGGACTATAAACACAGGATACTATGTGCTGCCCCTGGGCTCGGGTTTCTGCCCGTCCTTCCATGCCCACCACCAAAGCCCCAGCTTCTGCTGCCCATCTGTCCTCTGCCAGCCATAGAAGAAGGCCCTCACCACACCCCCTGCCTTCCAGCATCCCTGCACAGCATCTGGGTTGCTGTCTGTTGGGGACTGAATTGTCCCGCAAAAGCATGTGTTTTTAATCCAAAGCCCTGTACCTGTAAAAAGAAAATCACCCTGGTTTCCAATGCAGTCTTGGAAACCCACAGGAGCAGTTCTGTAGGGTGGCTGGGAGTCGGAATTGACTGGGTGGCAGGGAGTGGGAGAGTCATCCCATTTGGCACCAGTGTTTCTTCATTGGGTGGATGAAGCCATACCTGGAGGGTCGTGCCCTGAACCGTACATGCATACGCTTTGCTTTTGAGACCTAAAAATAGCACATTAGGTGCAAAAGCAAGCTGGGGAGCGCAGGTGGGGAAGACAGACTCTACATCATGTGAAGATCAGCACAGAACTGAGGGACAGAAATGGAAGGGACAAGAGAGTCAACAGAGAGGGCGCCTTCCCCTAGAGCTAATGCCCTGAATTCAGACTCCTATATTGTTGGAAAGGAAATTCCTGTTCATTAAAGCCGCCCCCCCCTCCCCCGAGGAATTTGTGTTATAGCAATGCTAAGAAGTGAGGACACTGCCCTACCCCCAGTAGGCTGGACCCTCTGTGAGATGATGCCCTTTTTGCCCCTGCTGAATGCCCTGCACAGCACCTGGTAGGAAGGGCAGGTGGTGCCGTCATGGAATTACACTTTGCCACAATTACACAATGCCACCCTGACCACCCTTCCAACCAGAAGACCACCAAGCTCTCCCACTCCTTCCCGCCACCCCGAGCCGGTACCTGGTCCAGCTGCAGGGTCCGGCCGTCCTTGGTCCAGCTGACAAAGAGCAGCGGGGGGTTGGCACGAACAGGACAACGGATCACCCCTGGCATGCCGACTGGCAGGGGTGTCTCAGGAGGCATGGCTATCACCTGGGCTGGGTCTTGGGTGGGGGGAGGGGGAGCATTAGCATGTTAGGTGGGTCTTGGGTCAGGGGAGGGGGAGAGGGGAGGTGGGACAAGGGAGGGAAGGAGCTGGGTGGGACTTACAGAGCACGGTGAGGTAGGCCGAGGCCGAAGGCGGGCGCAGGAGGCCATTGCTGGGCACACAGCTATAGCGGCCGGCATCGTCGGGTGCAGCCGCCTGCAACCGCAGGCTCCCATCCACCAGGATCCGCACCCGGGACCGCAGGCGGCTGCAGTATGCGAGTGTGGGGAGGAGGCGTTCAGACCCTGCCAAGCCACGGGGCTCCTCAAAACGTGCCCACTCGCTCCCCAGGCCCCACCTGATGTGGAAGACGTTGACGCCGTCTTGGAACCAGCTGTAGGTGAGGTTTGCAGGATACGCCTCGGCCTGGCAGGCCAGGGACACGTCCTGGGAGGCATTGACCGTGCTGTTCTGGGGGGGCACCACAATGACTGGGGGTCCTGAGAGGAGTACACGGGAAGGGAGCCGGCTCAGTTCACATTTCTGCAAGAACCAGAGGGCCCTTCCATAGCCCCTCCCAGCTCTGCCCTCGGGGCTCTGGGGGGGGGGGGGCGCTGCAGAGACCTGGGGACAAGCAGAATGGCCCCCTGGGTGTAAGGAAAGCACATGCTCCCCTCCAGTCCACAGGGGCAAGTCACTCACCTGGGTTCCCTCACCTACAAAGTGGAGGTCAGTTCTAACTGTCTGCTCCACTACCCTTGATAGCGGTCAGCTGTCTCTTGGCCGAATCCAAGTACTCGATAACGCACCCTAAGACGCTGCAGCATCCCTGACTCGGGGGTGGGGGGAGGTGGGTATAGAGCTGGCATGTTCAGACCACCAACTACATGCCAGGTACTCTGCCAAGCACTGTACTTCCATCAACTCATTTAATGGCCCAGGGACACCTTGGGGTAGGAGTCACCCTCCCCTCGTTTGTAGATGAAGACATTAGCAATCAAAGGCAGAGAGATGGCTAGGTGACTTGGCAGGGAAGGCAAGATTCAAAGCCAGGCCTTCCTGATGCTCAAACTCAAAAACTCACGGCCACCAGTTGATGCTGACTCATAGCGACCCTATCGGAGAGGTCAAAACTGCCCCCGTGAGCTTCGTGCGCTGTCACTCTTCATGTGAGTAGAAAGCCCTACCTTTCTCTCAGAGAGGCTGGTGGTTTTGAACTGCTGACTTTGTAGTTAGCGGTCCAACGCCTAACCATCCCTTCACCAGGGCTCCTGATGCCAGAGGGGGGAAAGAAGAGGCTTTACAGCAGTGGTTCTCCACCTGTGGGTCGTGACCCCCTTAGGGGTCGAACGACTCTTTCACAGGGGTTGCCTGATTCATGACAGTAGCAACATGACAGTGATGAAGTAGCAACAAAAATAATGTTATGGTTGGGGGGTCACCACCACATGAGCTGTTTGAAAGGGTCACGGCATGAGGAAGGTTGAGAACCACTGCTTTACAGCCTCAGAAACCCACAGGGGCGGGTCTATCCTCCTGCGTTGCTATGCGTTGGAACCGATTTGATCTTACTCACTGCACTCACCTTTCCCACCGCACCTGGGGAGCAGGCTTCGTTTCAGGACTCAGTCATCCAGCCTGCCCCCATGATGGAGTCCAGACCTCACCCTTCTCAGTTTCCCCCCAGAGGGAAGCTGGGGGCCAGGAAGTACTTACTATATACCAAACACTGCGTCTGGTAGCTAGCTAATGGGGTCTGTGTAATAATCTGAGCAGTAGGTAGAAACTCATGAATTGACTCATAGCGACTCCATAGGACAGACTGGAACTCTCTTTGTGCAGGAGCAAAAAGCCCCATCTTTCTCCCTCGGAGCAGTTAGTGGGTTCAAACTGCTGACCTTGTGGTGATCAGCCCGATATGTAAGTGCCACAACACCAGTGGGTGTGGACCCTTAATACGGATAAGGGCTTGTGCTCAGGAAGGTTAATGGATTCAATATCAGCATCCATGCCCTTTCTACGTCACCACAAGGTGGGACACTTCATATTCACCCATTTACTTTTAGCATTAAGATGCTGGTTTGGGAGCAACAGCCTGCATTGGGAGCTGCCTCACTCTGCTGGGACCACTCCTGTCCTCCGTCTCTGCCCACTCCTGCTTTGTGCTACTGGCCACCCCCCGCCGCCGGTCCAAGTGTGCCTCCCTGGCTCCCAGCCCTCCCACCGGCGAGCACCTTGCACCAGGAGCTGGGTGGCGTGGGTAGCGCTGCCCTCGGTGCTGGAGGCTTGGCAGGTGTAGACGCCAGAGCTGCCCCGCTCCACCTTCTGGATCCACAGCGTACCATTCTGCACCTGGGGAAGGAGTTCCTGAGCAGGGGGCTTGTCCCGCCCACCTCAGAAGCTGTGCTCCAGAGTGACCAGCAGAGGGCGGCAGCAACCCAGGCGCAGAGGAGCTAGCCGTCAAGGTCCAGCCCCTCCAGCTGAAGAGCTCCCAGAACCCCATCGACTCCTCTGGGTCGGCACCCGACTTGCTCAGCCCAAGGTTCATGCGCACCTGGCCCTGGCCAAGGTCCTGTCCTCGGAGCTTCCAAGTCACATGTGGCTTGGGGCTCCCGCGGGCCACACAACGCAGGGTGACGGGCTCCAGCTCCCGCACTTCCAGCACAGGGGGTGGTGTCTCTTGGAATTGTGGGGGCGCTGTGGAGAGATGGGGGCGTCAGGGGCTATTGCCACAGGGACTATCAGCCCAGAGTTCTTCAGAGGACCAAGGAGACAGACCACTCGGGCCTCAGCCTGCCTAGCTTCAAAGCAACACCAGCCCAGAGCCACCTTGTCAGCTGCACCCAGGGCTAGCCCTGGCCCCCACGCTGGCCTGCCCAGCCTGGGGAGAGCACAGGCTGAGTGTTCCGACCAACGACCAACGGGGAGAGCTAGGTGCCCTCGGGCCAGCACTGCCCTGGAAATAAGGAGGCCCAGCTTTCTGCACACTGGGGGCCTCATCTTTGAGACCGGCATAATTATGGCCCTGCTCTCCTTGTCCTTCGTGGCAAGAGAGAAGGAAGGAATGACTGGGTGTAAAGGAGTTTTGAACAAAACAACAGTGCTGTGTGTATGTACACTCCGGTTCACCCAGGCCTGACACGCCCCCCTCCCTCACCCTTGCCTCCAACTGCCCTCCTATGGCCAGAGAGGTAGGGTAGAAGCTGTGGCTCAGACATACAAGCCTGGAGCCCACAAGGATGACTGGGTATCGATTTGAAGAACTGAAAGGCCATGCGGATGCAGGAAGTGAGCGTGCAAACTTGGGTGCCAGCAGGGTGCAGCCCTGGAACCGCCAGTGGGTGGAGGCAGAACGTCCTCTTCCCCTCCCCGCTGGCCACACAGCCCCCCAGCCTCATCTCCATCATCACGGCCCCTCCCCACCCACCGCCTGTGCCCAGCTTCATACAGTTGACGGTGAGATGCACCCAGGAGCCGTTGGCAAAGTCGTCCTCGGGGCGGTGCTGGTCCAGGAAGAGCACTCGGCACTCGTACCAGCCCTGGTCTTCGGCCCGGAGGCCCTCGATTTGGAGAGATGCCCCCTTTTGCAGCCGGACACGCCCTGAGGGAGGAGCGCCGAGTCATGGGTGCTGAAGGGGACCAACCCCCCTCCAGCCACACTGGCCCTTCTCAGAGGTCGGACCTAGGCCATTTCTCTCAGGGACCCGGTTAGGGTGGAGCTCAGAAAGGGACAGATGGTGCTGGGGTTACTGGGAGCATGTCCTGGGTCCCACCCTTGGGGAGGGGGGGAAGTATTATGGACAAAAGGAAACCCCAAGGGGCAGAAGGTGGGCAGAAAGCTTCACAGATATGCCCACTCCCAGGAATGTGGAGGGAAAGGGTCGGGAGTCCCCCACTCTGGAGTTCTTTGGTGGGGGGGGCGGACTGTGGGCTCCTGGGCCTCCTCCTACAGAGGACTGTGTCCCTAGAAAGCTCAGCAGAGTTTGGGGCCCTAGCAGGGATGTAAACCTCCCCTGTCAAAGCCCCTAATCTCTCAGGGCTATTATCAGAGGCCTAAGCGCCTTAGGGTGGCCAGAGTCCAGCCCAGCCAGGCAGCGAGTCAGCAGGCCCTGCACCACCACCCCCACCCGCACTCAGCCTGCAGCTGACTGACCAGACACCTCGTCCCCACCCTTAGTCAACAACCGTCCCACCTGGCCCAGGGTGCCCACCCAAATCCCTCCACGCCTTGCCCTGGCTGAGCCTACGCCCCAGGCTGCGTGGGGTGGGGTGGGGTAGATAGAGGAGGAGCTTGGCAGGGCGCTGAGTGAGAGAAGCTGGTGTGAGCTCCTCTGGGCGAGTCATTTCACCTCACTCTCAACCTCGGTCTGTTCAAAACACAACACAGTGGGGGCGGGCAGGGAGGCAGGGTGCAAGAGAAGGCAAGGCAGGCTGCAAGAGAAGTCAGGGCAGGCCTCCAACTTGGTGCCCGGCATCAGCAGGGGACAAACATGGGTGGGAGAGCAAATGAATGAGCTCAGGATTTGAAATCAGAGCCCTGGCCCTTACCTGATAACCAACCCTCTCCCCTTTGGCCCCCACCCTCTCAAAGGCCGCTGTGCCAGGGAGAGCACACCATGAACCAGCCTAGCCCACCAGGAACCTGGCAGCACCTGGATCTGCCAGCCAGTATCCCCCACCCACAGCTCCCTGCTCAGTGCTATTAGGTGCTGTAGATGGGCTCCCGGCAACCCCATGCGCCCACTCTCAGATCCTCCCACCTACATCGTCTCCTTCTCTACATCCAGGGAGCCTTGCCCCTGGTACTGCCACAGCCCACTCGCAGGTCTCTCTGTCTCCGGCCCCCCACCCCCACCCTGAACTTTGTGTTTCTGACACGTGATCTGCATGAACTTTCCTGGGGTATGCAAATGCAGCTCCCAGCAGCTCCCAGCCGCCAAGTCCCCAAGCTGGGTGCCAAACCCAGTCAACCAGGCTGTGGTCAGCCTGCCGCTGGTCCAGAGAGGAGAGATTCTAAAGCTGCCACTGGAAGCGCCCCTCCAGCCTACTCCCTCCCTCTCCCAGTGGGGAGATCTTCCAGAGATGCGACCTACGTCTCCAGTGTCCCCATGTCACCATGGAGGTGGGGGAGAGGCTGGCTTTGGGTCTCAGGCAGGGGCCTCAGTTCTTCCAGAAGGCATTGCAGAGGTGTGGCCGCTCTAGGATGGGTGGAACTGGGTGTTTAAATCCAACCCGGGAGATACGCAGGCCTAGCAGGCAAATATTTAACACACGCACACCCTCCATCCATCATTCTCCAAATCCCGACGCTGCCTCGTCACCCAGCCCTGGAGACCCCAGATGGCACCTTCTTGTAAGCACTACACCTCAATAACGTTTGACTCTGGCATTCAGCTAGCCCTTCAAAGGTGGAAGAGCAGAGAGAGACTGAGGGTTGAATGGGAGCCATGCAGGATTAGGCACCATCACCGTCATTAATCCACACAAGAATTCCATTAACGACAAAGGGACTAGTATCGAGTTTCCTTCCAAGGCCACATGGCCAGCAGGGGACAAAGCCTGGCTTTCTCTCTCCTCCCAAAGTGTGCTCCCCCTGTACACAGGTGTTACAACCAGGTGGTTTTCAGCTCAGTGTCGGAAGTAGGTGGCAGTCCCCAATGACTGTCGATCAAAATGACCAATAGAGCAAACATACTGTCCATCCTCACTTCCCTGTGAGATCAAGCTTTCTAGACCTGCAGATAGAAGTCCCACAGCAGCGCAGTGAAGCCCAGGGCTACTAACCACAGGTTCAAATCCACCCAGAAGCACCTACATGGGAACCGTCACCGTCACTGAAAACACAGCCCTGCTCTGCAACACCCGGGTTCCCCATGAGTCAGACAGAGTAACTGGATGGCGAAGAGCAAGCAGTGCTGAGCCCTCCAGAGGCCCGAGCCGACCTCCCAGAGACTCGCTGTCCACCTGCAGGGCCAGGGCCTGATGGTCTTTAGATCCCTTCGCCTGGAGGCCTGTGTTACGGCAACAGGAGACAGCCTGTCCTCTCAAGTCCTCAGAAGGCAGGTAAGCCGTTTTTATGTTCACACACCGCAGATTCACAGAACACACAGGGGTTCAAGAAATAGTGCTCATTGGGCCCAGCACTCTCGGAGACGGTGAAACAAGAGGCGTATGTATGTCGTGGGCTTCTGTGATTTTATACACAGGGCTTTGAAGGGTAGAAGGCAGTAAGGGACATTCCTGTAGGGAGCTGGGAGCTCTAAGTGGGAAAATGATACTGGATTTTTGTCAAACAACTCAAGACCGAGAAACCCCTTACACTTACACTTTCTGGGCCATCTTGAGATGCCCAAGAAACACAGGACCGAAGGGCTAGCAGAGTCAGTCTGAGCTCCACCCGGGAGAGCTGGCAGAGTCAGCCCAGTCAAGCCTTCCTCTGAATGCCTGCGTCCGTCACATTTCCGATCACACCCTACTGCCACGGTTTACCAAGCGCTCTGTGCCAGGCTCCACGCTGGACACTTTGCACACCGCCAATAGTTGGCATTGGTCTCCCAGCTGAAAGATTGATGGTGTGGACCTAGCCAGGGCCCCGGTGACGTAATGGTCACACATGGGGCTGAGAGCTACAAGGGCAGCACTTCACAACCACCAGCCACCCTGCAAGAGAAAGCCGAGGCTGGCTACTCCCATAAAGTGAGTTTCAGAAGCCCACAGGGCCAGTTGTACCCTGGCCTGTAGGGTTGCGATGAGCGGGCATTGACTAGATGGCAGTGAGTTTGATTTTTTTGGTTTTGAGTGGCTTTGTGGAAGAAAGGCTTGGTATAGGCTGTTTCCCTCTGGGGCAGTTCTACTTACTGTCTAACACACGGGGTCACCTGCGTGGGGACCCAGTCAATGGCAAGGGTCAGTGAACGCCAGTGCATGGTCGTGTCTTGTGGGATACCACAGTCACCAGCTTTGAACTACACATAAGCCCTCACTGATCGACCGCGTTAGACTCCAAGGCCCAGGTCCTTATGCAGAACTTGGTGTTGTGCGGAAACCTCATCCGTGGGTGACCGCCTCGGATCACAACATGGGGATGATGACATCTTTACAGAACTGCCAAGTTACATCACTGCATGAGCGCTGGATTCCCTCGGAACATGAACTCCAAGCCGCTGAGTCAGGGCCCAGCCAAGCTGACACACCACCTTAATTCCCGTAACCTCCACAGCCAGGCTTGCGTATCACCTCGCATGTCTGCATCCATGACTGCCAGACATATGTCGTCACCGTGCAAAATAACCAGATGCTAGATTTCTTTGGTCTTGTCACCAAGGGCGAGACATTGACTCAGGAGATAGTCAACAAGGGCGGAATAGATGTATTCTCCACATCCAGTCTCCTCCATCCTAGAGCCCTCCAAGATTGGAAAAGCGTCCCCTCCAGGGGTCCATCCCAGAGCTCCGGCTCTTTCTCACTGCTTCTTCACACACTCCAGGCCCCAGCCTCACACACAGCCCCAGGCCCATCTCCCCCTCACTTGCCCAGGGGATTTATGACAGTGCAGCATTGTCCGTTGCAACCTCCACCTCCTGTTGCTTAGCAACTGCAATGCGGAGTCCCCCTACACAAAGGCGGAGAGGCCCCTTCTACACTGTGAGGCAGAAAAAGGGTTAATGGACTCAGGGGCCTCCCTTGTGAGGGCTGACTCCCCAGACAGGCTCAGGCCAGGCCAGAAGCTCCGGCCTGGGGAGTGGGATTGGTGGGTGGGGATGAGGGGGCGCATGGGAACTGACGGTACAGGTGGAAAGACAGTCCATGAGGTTACGGTTCACAGCCCTCGGTGCTCAGCAGAACAGCATAGAAAGGAGATTGCCGACAGGTGGGCAAGGTTTCCAGCCATGAGGTGGCCTGTGTGCTGGGGAGAGACGCACACTAGGGATAGGGCGACAGCAGGAGGAAGAAGAGTTTCTGACACCCCTGGTACACCCCAGGAAAGCCCACTCCTCCACCCACAACAGCCCCAACCTTCCCGGCCGGAGGGAGGGCTAGGGGGTGCACAGCCATTGCTTCTCCTCTTGTCCTGACCAGGCCCCGCCCTCATCCGCTCCCACGAGGCTACTCTAGACACACGCACACCCGCTAGGCTGCTGGCCAACAACTGCCCCGGTTTGAAATGGGCTTTTCCCTTCTGCAACTGTGGCGCGTGCCCTGACCTGAGAACTCAGCCAATCACAGGGCTGCTCCCAGGATTCAAACTAAAGCGAGAACGGGTCCGGCTAGGGCTCTCCTGGAAGGAGAGGGAGCCAGACACTGGCTGGCCCTCGAAGTTTGATGCCCCAGCAGCCCCAGACCCATTTTTAGACTCCCTCGGAGTCCTGGCCGCCCTGGCCCTGCACTAACCGCTCAGACGAAGGCGGCCTCTGGGGAAGGGAAGACAGACTCAGAGACTCTAGGGAGTGGTCTGGGGCACAGCCAAAGACCCCTGGGGAGATCCAGGTAGGGCCCACCTGCAGCGGCAACCCTGCCCAGGCCTGTCCATTGACTGATCATCTGGGCACCTGGCCCTCCTGGCCTACCTGTCGATGCTCACACTCCTCTGTATTCAGAATCAGGCTGATCTGCCACTGGAGAAAGCCAGGGGCACCCACCCTGTGCCCCCACTGGTCCACTCCTCAGCAAGCGTAGAGTCCCCTGAACTAGCATTCATGGGGCGTCGAGCAGACACCACACCAGGGCCTGGAACCGGGCCAAGTGGGAGACGACTGACCATGATGGGGCCCGGGAAGCTTTGTGTAGAGGGACGAGAGGCAGGAAGGACATTTGTACTGGGGCTGCAGTGTCCCCTTTGGGATAGATCGTGTGGGCACCGCCATGCCTTCCATGCAGGCATGTACCTGAGCAGAGCAGCCGTGGGCAAACGCTGCTTGGAAGCAGAGCCACGCTCAGCAGCTCTCCCGCAGGGGCCTGGAGATGAGCCTAGGGCAGGGACGGGGGTCTTTAGGAAGGGGTCTTCCCCCCACCCTTCCCGGACCCCCTTTGTCGGTGTCGGCTCCCTAGCTCCCACCTGAGGCGAACTCTTACCCACGTAATCAGGGTTGATGCGGGGGGAGTAGAGACCAAACTGGATGAAGATGGGCAGCAGGAATCCAAAGCGCAGCCACTCGACGACATGCAGCGGGGGCCGGCCAGCCGTGGGCAGGTCACAGCCTAGCACGGTGCTCTCCCCAGCCCGGCCCACCACTGACACCACCTCAGGTTTCCCTCGACCTGCAGGATGGGTGGCAGGAGGACACAGTGGGGGTGAGTCAGGGCTGGGAGGAGAGGCCCCATCAGTACCTCTGGGGGCTCACTAAGAATTCCCAAGATCTCCAGGCCTAGCCCTACTCCTCCCCTCCCCTCATGTGCTCCTGGAGAAGTCCTTGGGGAGCCCCCACCACCCAAGGCTGGACAGGAGTTCTTAGGACCCTCAGCTCACCGTCAGCCCCCTGGCTGATGACCAGGCTGAAGATGGCCAGACTGAGGCACCAAACCATAGCCCGGCTGGCCTGCTCTCCTGGCCCCCCCTGTCCACAGAGGCCCAGACGGAGGGGCCGAGGGATGGCTGCAGCCCAGCAAGCTGGGAAGGTTGCTCTGGTGGGCCTCAGGGAACGGGTTTCAGGTCTCACTCCTCTCGAGAGTTAGGGCTTGACTCATTGACCACCAGGGGAAGCTCTTCTCGGGAGAACCATCAGCCTAAACGCAAGATACAAGGCAACGTTCATTGGTGGCCAATACCAGAGCCCAGAAGAAACATCACAGTGAGAGAAAGGCAGTAGAAGAAACAGGAGGGCAAACAAAATAATGACGGGGTGGGGGCACACATAAACCAGTGATCTTACAGCCCAGCCCCGCCGCCCGCAGACAGAACCCCATGCCTCACTCAGCCTCCTCTCCCTTCTCTTCCAGGCCTCCTGATTCTAACAAGGCTGCAGGTAGCAGCTCTCTTCTGCCATCGAGCTGACTCCTGATTCCAACATAGCAGGTAGAAGCAGTATTATTATCCTCTCCACCTCCACTGTGACAAATAAGGGCCTTGAGAATGTGAGAGCGCTTTACACCCTCTAAAGAATTACCGTCTGGGAAAACCACAGGGCGGTCCCACCCTGTCCTATAGGGCTGCTATGAGTCGGAATCTACTTGATGGCAGGGGCTTGCTCAGGGGCCCAGGGCTAGTCACCAGCAACGCTTGGATGAGAACCAGGTCTCAAGATCCCGAGACGGTGGTCCCCAGGGTGTCCCCACACAATCCCTGGCCCTATTTCCCTAACTTCTGAGAGGCACCTAGAAAGAAGCTGGGGAGGGGAAGCGGCCTCTTTTTCCACACAGCCTCCCAGCAGGACTCTTCCTTCAGCAGGCAGCTAGTCGGACTTGAAGGAGGAGCTGCCTCCCCACCTGCTGCTGTGAAGGATCAGGCAGCATCCTCCAGGTCTGGGCAGGTCCCAGGCAAGCAGTTTGGCACCACTTCCCTCTCAGGATGCTGCCAGGCAGCCCTCCCTCTGCCAGGCACCAAGGCCCACGCGCCTCACCCAATTCCACCCACTCACTCCCCTCCAGTATCCTCCAGGCTCGGGGATTTCCCAAGGCCTGCCTTCACCTCAGGGCAGGCCCCACTAGCCCCAAAGCCTGGGAGTAGCTGGGGTGTAGGAAGGGAGGCCTGGGGCTGGGAGACAGTGACAGCAGCAGCCCTGGAGGCCTTAGAACAGAAACAGTGGGTTTTCGGGGAGTAGGGAGGAAGGGTGGGGGCTGGGGGAGGGGAGAAGAGAATTCCTATCTTGGGTAGGCAAATCCAATTGGACTCTGCTCTGGGCCCGCTGCCCAACCCTCTGCCTTATCTCCTGGACTGGCTATAAAACCACCTCCAGGACTCTAAGCCTGATCCAGCCTCTAATTAATGTCCCAATATGTCTAACCCCTAACAAATCACCAGTAACCATTCCCTTTGCTTCCCGCCCCTCGCTAGCCCCTCACCCCATATTTACAGAAAACATCTTTTCCCAAGCATGTAAGAACCTCAAGTTTTCTCAGGGCTCAGTTTCCCAAGAACATTAGTAAGCAAGGAACCCCCAAAAAGGCCTATTCTCCATATGATCTTTCCAACTCCTCTGCCTGGCCCCTCCATTTCAGCACCTTCCTGGGCCACTACCCACACCCAGCACTTCCTTCATCCTCTAATCCCAGGTGTGTTTATTTCGTCCAGTCCCCACTAGATTCCAGGGTCTCACACCTGATGCCCAAGTGCCCAGGTACGCCGTGCTCTGCGCCCCACCACCACCACCAAAAGCTCCCTTATTGTCCTTTCCAGAACCCCCCTCCTCCCCTCCCAGGGCTTCTCCTGCCCCAGCCCACAGAACACTGTGGCACCCTACCTCAGCAATCCCCTTCTCCCTCCACCGCATTCACGGAACCACGGAACTCCGCTTTCTGTTGGAACCCACTAAGAACTCCCCCACTCGAACTCCAGAACCCCACTTCTCCCGGACACCCCGCCACCACCATCACCCAACACCGAGAATCCTACTTCACTCTCAGAACTCCCTCAGTTCGGCTCCCCAAAGAATTCCACTGCTCTCCACAACTCCCCGATTTCTCCTGTCCCCCTCTAACTCCAGCACCGCTCTCCAGCCCCCCGCCTGCACCCCGACTTCTACTCAACCCCCCACCCCACCCTACCCCAAATCGTCCCCGCCCTCACCTGCTCCGCACCGCTCCGCTCCACTCTTCCAGCTACACAATAGGGGGCGGACCCGCCTCCCCGCCTCGGATGCCCCGAGCGCCTCCCGTTGCCCTGGAGACCGCCAATCCCCCTCCCGCGGCGGCCAATCGGAGCCCGCCGAGGGCCAGGGGGGCGGGCGGGACCCCTGGGTGGCCTGGGAGTTGTAGTTTCTGGGAGGAAGGACGCGGTGGCACGTGGGCTCAGGTCGCCCCCTCGTGGAGCTCGGTACAAGGCAGCGTGCAAGGCTGGTCTCCGCTTCCGGCTGCAAGCGCGAGGGCCTCCGGGCCGGGGCACCTACCTGCTCCGAGGACGCAGGAGCTGGCTCCGAGCACGCCCTTTCCTTTGTCACCCACCTTCGACCCTCTCTCCTAAGCTCCCTAGCTCCGAGAACCGCAGGGGCGGCGGCTGGGGAGAAATCTGAGCCTGGGGGTAGGAACACCGGGCGAGGAGCAGGGCTCCCCGCCCTCCTCCCCGGGGGATTACCTAGCTCTGAGGCTCATCTGATCGCCCCATCCCCATCCCCACCTCCATCCGTTTTTTCTCTCGCCAGACTGGAAATACCTGCCTGCCCTGGCGCGCTCCCAGATCCTGCCCAGGAGCTCCATCCCCTAGTGCCCCCGCCCCCCTTGCCCCCCCCCCCCCCCCCCCCCCCCCCCCCCTGCACCGTGTGCAGTGGGGGAAGTCTACGATCAGAGTTTGGGGTGCCAAGTCAGCTCCCGCGCTAACCACCAGCTCAAACAACTGAGAGCCAGAGGGGAGAACTGTCAGGCACCCTGACGTGGGAGCTTGAAACGGAAGGACTGAAAGAGGTGTTCATTCACAGAGCCTCCCCCTCTCCCCCTCCCGCAGGGTGCCAGACCGGCACTAGGTGCCTACATCACTCTGTTTAACGCACAGATTAATGAGAAAACGGTGGTTCAACCCAGACCAAGTAGCTCGCCCAAGATTTCCCTGCTAGGAACATGGCAGAGCTGCAATTCAGACTCCACAGGGCGTTAATCAGGTGGCACCCCCTTACGCCCCCATCCCTGACTTCATCAAACCCGTGGAAAGGCTCAACGCTCAGGCAAACCGAGACCTTGCATGTTTGGCCCTCAACGTTTTCTACTTCCCATGCTTGGCTGCCCTCAGGATGCAGGGTTGTCATTTGTCTGCCCCACAGGGCCTAAGCAGCCATCGCCTATCCAAGTCCCACCATTCAGTGGCCCACCCCACCCCCACCCCCCTTTTCCCAAGCCTTCCTGAAACGCAACATCCTGATCTCAACCCTGTCTGAATTCCTTCAACTCACACCAAATGCGCTATAGAACCACAGGACCATCTCAAAATCAGGAGCTTCCAGACCAAGGCTAGGAAGACAGGCCTGATGTCCTGCTGCTACAAATCAGCCGTGGCAATCTTACGGAGTAAGGCGGTTCAATCTCATTGCATTGCGAGTCAGGGAACGAGTCAATGGAAGCCAACAACAAAAAAGGAGCGAGCTCTGGGATGGGTCTAACCACTGCTGCACATCAGCCACGAGGCCCTCCAGGAGCTGCCCACATGTTGAATCACTAAGCTGACCACATCTTGTGGCAACCTACCCCATCTTCAGTGAGTGCTGACTGCTATTTGGCTCTCCTTGGCAGAAATGTTTAGGTGTTTCTTGTCACAGCCTGAGGTGGAAGTATAGCTTCCCTCCAGCAAATGTCCCCAAAGTGGTGACACAGAATCAGGTGTCAAGTTGAGAGGATTATGAGTGAAGGGGTGGAGCGTGGCCAGTCAATCAAGATATGACCAATGAGGCCTCTGTGTGGGCATGGCCTTCTGAGAATTCTGGGAATTCCTGGATTTCCTCCTTGGAGGCGGAAGACACATTCTCTCTCTGCTCACTTCCTGAGACCACACTCTACTGACAAGATCTGATAAGACACATGGCACTCGCTGATAGACCCCGTGCCCTGGGAACTGGAGAAGCCATGTGGAGAGCCCTGCCAGTAATGCCACTGGATCCAAAGATTTTCTACCCACTAGCCCGTGATCTTCCTACATGTGTTTTGTGAATCTGAAGAGGACTATATAGATTGGTATCGGACATATGGGCTTAGACTGGACTGGAGTAGGAGGCTTTCTTAATGGACAATTACCCTTTATATAAAGTTCTTGGACACATATGTGTTTCTATGAATTTGTTTCTCTAGTCTAACACAAGCACCTTTTCAATGCTTTCTTAATGGACAATTACCCTTTATATAAAATTCTTGGACACATATGTGTTTCTATGAATTTGTTTCTCTAGTCTAACACAAGCACCTTTTCAACTCTGTTGGACAATGTCCTCTTCCGACCTAACAGCAGGTAAGACTGTAATGAAATATGGCCCACTGGTTGAATGCTCACCATACACCACCATACATTCCCAACCAATGCACTTCAAGCACGGCTACCACCCATCTTTCAGGGAAGGCTTGCCTGCTGCCGTCATGTGGAACAAGTTTCGGTGGAGCTTCCGGACTAAGGCTAGGAAGACAGCCCTGACGTCCTGCTGTTAAAAGTCAGCTGTGAAATCTTATGGAGTACAACGATGGTCCAAGCTCACTGCTCTGTGAGTTAGGGACAACTCAGCGGAAAACAACAACAACATCAACGAATTTCAAAAAAGGAAATTAAGAAGACATGGTAGTGGACGTGGATGCCGAACGTCACAGTGGGAAGCCTTTTTTATTAGTATTCTTATTAACTTCTTACCTTCTCAGCCAGCAGAGCAAAAGCTCCCCCCTCCCTTTGAGAATCAGCTACACTGCGGATCCAAACGTTCCATTCCTGCTGCCTCCAGTGTTTTCTTGAGGATAAACTCATCTCTCCTGATCTGAATGTTAAAATGATTTTTTTGTAAATTGAGATTTTGAATGGTTTTTAATTTTAAAAACTTTTTTTTTCCTGGAGGCTTCTTTCGTGAGTTTGATTATTTTCATTTTCTGCTGGTTCAAATGTATC